CATTCATTTCTTTCTGATTGTCCAATTAGTTGACATATAATTATTTGTAAAATTTTCCTCTATTTTTTTTGTATTTCTGTAGTGTTGGTTTTTACAGTGCTTTTTGATTTTTGACTATATTTGTTTTATCTGTCTCTATCTTCATGAATCTAGTTAAGTGTTTATTAATCTTGTTTATATTTTCAAAAATCCAGCTCTTGGTTTTATTGATCTTTTGTATTGTATTTTTTAGACTCTGTTTTCATTATTTTTGCTCTGATCTTTATCCTTTCCTTCTGTCTACTCACTTTTTCTTTGTTGTTATTTTTCTACTCCCTTTAGGTATGAGGTTATACTGTTTATTTGAAATTTTTCTTGTTTCTTGAGGTTAGTTAGCCTGTATTGCTATGAGTTTCCTCTTAGAACTGCTTTGATGAGTCCCATAAATTTGGGGTTGTTGTATTTTCATTTTCATTTGTCTCAAGGTATCTTCCAGTTTCTTCCTTGATCTCATTGTTAACCCATTCATTGTTTAGTAGCATGCTATTTGGTAGCAAACACATGGAGAGTAGCAAACACATGGAGATGTGTTTGTGTGTTTTTCAGTTTTCTTTTTGTTATTGACTTCTAGTTTCATATCACTGTGATCAGAATAGATGTTTGATCTTATTTCAGCCTTCTTAAAGTTGTTGAGACATGTTTTGTGACTTAACATGTGCTCCATTCTGGAAAATGTCCCATGTGCACTTGAAAAGAATATATATTCTGCTACTTTGGCATGAAATTTTCAAATAACATTATTAAATCCATCTGGTCTACTTTGCCATTTAAAGCCATTGTTTTCTTTTTTATTTTCTGTCTGGATGACTTATCTGTGGACATCAATGGGGTATTAAAGTCCTCTGCCATTACCGTATTACTGTGGATCTGTCTCTTTATGTCCATTAATACTTATTTTATATATCAGGTGCTCCTACAATGAGTGCATAAATGTTTACAAGGGTTATATCCTCTTGTCGGGTTGACATCTTTATCATTATAAAAATGTCTTTTTAGTGTGCCTTTATTTTAAACTCTATTTTATCTGATATGAACATTGCTGCCCTATTTTTTCCATTTTCAGGAAAAAAAATTTTTTCCATCCTTTTACTTTCAGTCTGTGTTATCATTTGCTCTGAAGTGGGTTTCTTGTAGGTTTCATATGTATGGACCTTGTTCTCTGATCTATTTAGCCACCCTATATCCTTTGATTGGAACACTTATTTTACTTACATTTAAAGTAATTATTGATAGGTATGTACTTACTGCCATTTTATTATTCATATTTTTAGTTTTATGTATTTCTTTTTAATTGTATTTTCTTGATTATGCTGTTACAGTTTTCTCAGTTTTTCCCCTTTTGCCCCCTTCTATCCAGCACCCACACTCCCTCAGGCAATCCCTACACTGTTCTTCATGTCCATGGGTCATGCAGATAGGTTCTTTGGATACTCCATTTCCTATACTTTATTTTACATTCCCATGGCTATTCTGTAACTACCAATTTGTACTTCTTAATCCCTTCACCTCTTCACCCATTCTCCCACACATCCCCTCCCATATGGCAACCATCAAAGCACTCTCCATATCCATGATTCTGTCTCTGTTCTTCTTGTTTCCTTTGTTTGTTTTTTAGTTTCAATTGTTGATAGATCTATATATCCATTTCATTGCCATGTTATTGTTCATAGTTTTAACTTTCTTCTTTTTCTTAAATAAGTTCATTTAACATTTCATATAACAATGGTTTGTGATGATGAGCTCCTTTAGTATTTTTCTTGTCTGGGAAGCACTTTATCTGTCCTTCAATTCTAAATGGTAGCTTTGCTGGATAGAGCAATCTTGGCTATAGGTCCCTGCTTTTCATGACTTTGAATATTTCTTGCCAATCCCTTCTAGCCTGCAAAGATTCTTTTGGGAAATCAGATGACAATCTTATAGGAACTCCTCTGTAAGTAACTAACTGCTTTTCTCTTGCTGATTTAAGATTCTCTCTTTATCTCTAACCTTTGGCATTTTAATTATGATATGCCTTGGAGTGGGCCTCTTTGCTTTCATCTTCTTTGGGACTTTCTGTGCTTCCTAGACTTGCATGTCTATTTCCTTCACCAAATTAGGGAAGTTTTATTTCATTATTTTTTCAAATAGATTTCTAATTTCCCATTTCTTGCTCCCTATTTTCTCCTTCTGGCACTTCTTTGATGTGAATGTTGAAATGCTTGAAGTTATCCCAGAGGCTGCTTGCACTATCCTCATTTTTTTATATTCTCTTTTCTTCTTGTTGTTCTGATCAGTTGTTTTTGCTTCCTTATGTTCCAAATCATTCATATGATTCTTAACTTTATCCACTCTATTGTTGTTTCCCTATAAATTGTTCTTATTTTCAATTAGTGTATCCCTCATTTCTGACTGGATCTTTTTTATTCTTCTGAGGTCCTCACTAAGTTCCCTGGGCATCTTTATCATCAGTGTTTTGAACTCTGCATCTGATATATTTATATTTAGTTCTTTTCCTGGTGTTTTGATCTATTCTTTTATCTGAGCCATGTTTCTTTGTCTCCTCATTTTGACAGATTACCTGTGTTTTTTTCTATGTATTAGGTAGAACTGCTATGACTCCCTCTCTTGGTAGTGTGGCCTAATATAGTAGGTGTCCTATAGGGTCTTGTGGCACAGCCTCTCATATCATCCAAGTTGAGTACTCAAGGTGTGCCCTTCATGTGTGTTGTGTACATTCTCCTTTTGTAGTTGAGCCTTAATTGCTGTTGCCAGGTCAATGGGAGAGATTTGTCCAGGTCAGTCAGCTGCAAGGACTGGCTGTGACCACTGACCACCAACCTCCACCCTCCATGGAGGTAGCTGTGCAGGGGAAAGGTAGTGCTGTTCCAACATGGTCTATTCTGTCCACTGGGTGCTCAAACTGTGGGGTTGCCTGGGTGATGCAGGCCAAAGTAAGGACCAGCCTGTGTTCTCCCCAGGGCCACTATGCTTGAGCTATAAAGTAATCTTCAGCTGACTGCTACTTGTGCTGGGCTTGGAGACTCCCCAACAAAGAAAAGCTGTTAATCTAGGCTGACTGCTGAAGGTGCCTGGGACCCATTAACAAAATGTATGGGAGCTAGGGGCTTACTGAGGTTTTCTGTTGCTTTTGTGAAAGGAATGTGGAAGTTGTGAAGTATGAGCCAAATCCAGCCATTCATATGGAAAAGTCACAGTTAACAGTTTGGGTGAGCCTATGAATTGGGTAGGACAGAGTCTCAGGAGATCTCCAGAGAAGGGCAAACAGTGTTAGCCTGGTGGTTGATGGAGTCTCAGATATGACGCCTACCTACTGGTGTTGTGGCTCTTTGTGGGGAGGTCTAGAAAAGGGACAATGGCCTTGTTTGCTCACCATTCTGCCTGAGAGAAAGCTGTCCCCTAAATCCTGCCTTTATGCTAGACACTTCAGTTCCTTCTGGAGCTTCAGTTCCTTCAGTTCCATTGGTACCTTTCAGGCTGCTACCCAGGTGCTAGAGTTCAGAGTGAGTGAGTATGTGTAAGTCTGTATGTGGGTTCTCCAGGGGGAAACTTCTGGAGCTTGGGACTCCAGAACTTTCTTCCACTAACTCAATCCCCACTGGTTTTTGCAGGCAGAAGTTGTGGGGACTTATCTTCCTGGTGCTGAAAGTGTGGGCTGGGGGTCCTGGTGTGGAGCTGGGTCTTTCTCCTGGAATACCCCTCCCCAATTTTTATGCACCATACATGGATGTGGGACCAGCCCTTTCTGTGTTTCCACCCTTCCTACCAGTCTGGATGGGTGTGGTTCTTTAATTCTGTTGTTGTTAGATTTCCATTCAACTTGATTTCTGTTGGTTCTGAGTGTTGGTCATTCTATATTTTATTTGTAATTTTGATGTGGTTGTGTGAGGGGGTGAGCCATGTTTACCTATGCTATCATTTTTACCATGTTTTTCTTCTTAAAAAATCCCATTAACATTTGGTAGTGGTGAAATCCTTTAGCTTTTTCTTATCTGGGAATAGTCATTTTCCTTGGGTTTATAAAGCCAGCAATTCATGGGGCCCAAAGAAATGTTGTTTGACCACTACTGCCCTAGAAATCTATATGAATAGAAAACTTTATCCCAGCAATGAATGGAAATAATTTCCCAAATAATAGTTGTATGTTTAAGCAAATCATGGTATGTATGCACACCGAATGGAATATTAGGTAGCCATTAAAAATGTTTGCTAGCATAGGAAAATAGTTTTAATGCTCCTTAATAGTATAGGAGAATATTTGTGATGCTCCCTAGAAAAACCATGGTAATCATCAATGCACAGTAGTATTTATCAGTGAGGGAAAAAAGCATAAAAACTACTATAAAATATATAAAAATATTAATTACAGTTGCCTTTCAGCAAAGTGATTTTTCTGCTACCATGTACTTTTTCTGTACCACAAGTTTTCTTTATTAACCATACATTTACTCTTTCAGCCAAACTTTTATTGTAAAAGGAAAAAAGAGGAAGAGACAAGAAATGAAAGTTAGGAGGTCAGAAGAAACAGGACTGACACCTGTCTACCTAGCATGGCTTAGATGTCATTATCCCTGGAGGGTTAGGATATGGGAGGACTTCTTACTTTATGGCAATTCCTTTAAGATGCATGGCTGGTCATTCCTTGCTTATACATGAAAGCAACTGTAATAGCTACTGTCTAGGGAGTGCCACAGAACCCACACTCTGGAATGGCAAGTTCTAATTCCAGTTGGCTCTTTGTGACATTAGGCCAGTCAGTCTATGCCTTCCCTGGTTATCCACCTTTCTGGAGGATATTTTCCAAAACCTTTTTAGGAAACAGGATAAGCAGAAGGGTCCTGGTCATAGGGAAAGCAAGTATTCTGTTTCAAAATAAAGACAAACTTCTCTTAACATTCTATTTTTCCTCTAAACTTCAGTCTTCTAATCCTGCTAGCAACTAATATTTCTTTTATCTCTTCCAGGAAATGATCGAAACAGCCTAGATTTCAACAGGCAGGTAAGGACTTTCAGAGCAAAACCTTTATTCTATAAATTTTGGGGGTCATCTGTACTATGTCAGGTGTGAGAGAAACAAAGAAGATGAAGCAAAGTTTGAGGGAGTTTATTCAGAGACTTGTATATTTGAGGATTGGGAGGGGCCTTTAAAGGGCTTTTGCCTCTAAACCCTTTTCAACCCACAGTTCAATGTCTGGGTCTGCTTTTCACTTTGCCCTCAAAAGAGTACTGACAAATGTAGTACTAGTTTAGAACTGACTGCATGCCAGATGTGTTCAAAATCTAAGACAACAACTATTTTCCTGTCAAAGCTCAACCTGAGTTGTATCTTGGACAAGTATATTTATATGCTCTGACTGAGTGTAGAGGAATTTATGGAGGCACAAAATATGGAGTGCCTGGATTCTTCATGGGACTCCTGATTTACAGGAAGAAGGTAGTGGACAAAACAGAGGAAACAGAACAAAACAAGCTCAGAAAGGAGAGAGTGACTCAGCTCAGTGGGACAATGTAGGCACAAGCTTTGTTCCTTTGAAGAAAATTGAGTTAGGTAGGTTGGAGTTAATCAGGGAGGGCTTTGGGTAGGGTAAGGCAGTGCTGGGTGGTTGGCAGCATGGATAAATGTGGATGTGTAGAAAGAAGGAGAAAGAGGAAAGAGAGGAATTTTCTCTTAGGCTCAGAGGCTGATGGCATACTTGGAGGAGAGGGATGGGACAGGATACTATGTCAGAAGCAGAAGGTGTGAATGTTTGTTGAAAGGAGGAATAGTAAGGTGGAGACAAGCAAAAAGCAATAATGGAGGACCTTAAAGAGAATCAGAGAGGTGAGAAATAGATATAAAATCAGAAGCCCCGGTTTTGGTCCTGTTTCTGCCACTAACCAGCTATATAACTTTGGTGAAGTCACTTAATATATTTGGTCTGAATTTTCTCAGCTTAAGAATTAATTTATTTTAGCCCTGGCTGGCGTAGCTCAGTGGATTGAGTGTGGGCTGCAAACCAAAGTGTCTCAGGTTTGATTCCCAGTCAGGGTAAATACCTGGGTTGCAGGTCATGACCCCCAGCAACCGTACATTGATGTTTCTCTCTCTCTCTCTCTCTCTCTCTTCCTCCCCTCCCTCTCTAGAAATAAATAAATAAAATCTTTTTTTAAAAAAGCAACTGCTATAAAAAAAGAATTAATTTATTTTGTAAATTTGGGGTACAGTTGGTGGAAAAATGTGCTACGTCATGTGTGGAAATGCAAAGGAAATTAAGACATGTTTTCTGCCCTGGAGAAGCTCACAGTCTGGTATGAAGTAGAGACAAAATACTGGTATGAATAGAGACAAAAGGAGAATGAGAAGGAAAGGGAGGGAGGGAGGGAGCTATAAAGGGTGGGAGAGAGTCTTTATAGACAAACAAACTGGGGCCCATCCACATGTCGCATTGATGCATGACCCAACAATTAGTGTTGAAGGAAATGGGTTTTTGTTTACAGAATTTCAACCTTGGCTGTGCTGGGAGCACTCCTGCTTGGAGCTCTGTTCTCCCACGAGGCCCAACACTTCCCTTGCTCCCCATAAGGCTATAAGTCAAAAACATGCTCAAAAGTTCCCCATATCCTTATTTCTTCTTAAGCTGACTGTACCCACAGTTTTCCCTCCCACCCAGAATCTGAATTTATGGGTTTCAGAGTCATCATCTTCTCACAGCAGGTCTCTCCTTCTGGATCTGACATGTTGTCCTCAGCCTTCATGTAGTAGTCCAGAAAAACATGTGCCATATTACACTGAATCAAAGTGGATTCCAGGAAGACACATGCCCCAAGAAAGTGGCTTCTCTGTACATCCATTAGAGAAGTAAAATTCTATAGTCTCAGCATTCCCAGCCGCAGTTCAGCATTTCAGGCATCTCCCACTAATCTATGCTTAGTTTGACAGGATCCTACACAGCTCCATCAGCTTTGCCAGGTCCCCACACAGCTCCATCATGCCTCTTCTTATACCCTTTCCTGACTTCTGGCCAGCATGGCTTCTACGTTAAACACCAGCCCTCATAGCAGAATCCTGACTACAAACTGCATAGCTGCTTACTGCTTCCTCTCTCAGACATCATGGCAAAATCCCCCTACATCATGGCTCCTTCCTCATGGTTGCTACCTACTCTCTCAGCCCTCATGGCAGTCCAGCTCCTTCTCTTTCATCCTGCCCTGATTTTAAATGCTGATTCAGAGCTTCCTATGTGGCCTCATATCTGGCCCTTCCTACAATGAGCTACTTTTGCCAGTTCCCCCCTATCTTTCACCTTCTTTCGGCTACCAACTTTAGTCAGGGAAAGAGTACCCAGTGACAAGTGAGAACTGCTGCCTCCCGGCCTCTCACACAAGTGCTGTATAAGTTCCCCCAGCTATGGCATGAGTCACTATAAGGTCTGAAAGTCACATAGACCGTTTACCCAGGGTAGCAGCACAACTATCAGCTAGCTATTATTATGAAAAGTATCTTAACCACTGTATCATCCCCTTCCCTATCCCCAACCATGGGTTGTAGGGAATATTTTGGGAGACCCCCACCCCACTCTGCACCCCATTACATCTTCAATGAATATTTATAGTGAAGCTTTATTCATGCTACCTAGAGGTATGTTAAAAGCATGGCATCAAACAGAAATGGGAACAGTTAATTATTCCTGGGATCTCAGGGGAGGCTTCATGGAAGAGGTAATATTTGTGTCTAGCTCTGAAAGATGAGTACAAGTTTGCCAGGCAGAGCAAAGTAGACTGGAGAGGGAAATAGCCATGGGGAAGGGAAGATAGTCTTAGAGTGGTGGTGAATTGGCTAACCACTAGGGTTCCTTCCCATTCTGAAATTCTGAGGCCAGGTTTAGATGGAAGTCTGGGTTGGGGGAAAGGGAAGCTGGAGATGAAATTCAGACATGCTTTTCTCCTTTATCTGTAGAGTAATTTGATGTCACTATTAACATTTTCTAAAGGTTTGTTAATGCAGGATGCATCCTTCACAATAAGAGAGAGGAATAAACTTGAGTACTAAGCCAAAACTCTTATACAGGCAACTTCTGCAATTTTGTTCATTGGGGGTTTGCTAACAAATGGAGACCAACTACTCTCCCTCTTCACTCAACACTAAAACAGAGATAAGCTTCAGTTAAGGAGTGATGTAGGCTGGCTATGAGGAGGTACTTGTAGCCAATTGGCTTGTTAAACACGGGAACAGCTACCAAGGGAGGGAGACTATTAGAATCAGCTTCTCACTCATGGTCTTTAAATATGGGAAAGATTCTTATCTAAGGGTAATTGGGCCAGATTTGCTTCAAAGACAGGAAGATGGAGGTGGATTCCCAAGGATTCTGTGTCCTGAAGGAGAGTCCTAAACAGGTTGGGATGGGGCCTGTGCCTGTGATTTCTTCTCTGCAGGCTAAGGATCCAAGTTCCAGACCCCTGAACAAGGGAGGAGCCCATCCCATGCCAAATATGGCCCCACTAACTCAACCCAGAGGTGCCCACTTCACAGGCTCAGTAGGTTTGGCTGCCTGTGTAATCTTTCTGAAGCTTGAGAAACCCTTGCACTTAGGACAAGGCTGGGGGCAGCCAACAGAGAGATCACTGACCCTTTAAACATATTTTATATTAATTAAATTTTGTGGCAGAGGGGTTTGGTCTCCACCAACTGGGAGAAAGTTTTCTGGCTTTTGCCAGGATCTGGCCTCTCTTGAATTTGCTTTACTTGAATGAGCCTTCTGGAATGGGTCATTCCTTCCCTTCCCTGAGAAGGGTTTTTTGATTTCTTGTTACTGACAAGAACAGACATAGCTTTTTCTTTAAAGAGAGGGGGATTTGGGGGAAAGAAAGGCTCAGCCATGCCATACTTATTTACACACTGATACTGGAGCTCTTCTCTGTTCACACATATCCACACCCTCCCTAAGGTTCCTTCTTGCTCCTTCTCATTTCATACCTTAGATGCCATCAGATACTGACATCCACATGATCTCATCCTTACTAGCTCACCTGCAAACCTACAGGTAGGCACCCAGGATTTCTCAGGCCACTGCACTGACAAAAACAACATTTTGTGGATCACCAGGCTCTGTGTGGGATGCTTTTGGTACTTTATCTAATTAATTCTCACCATAAACCAAGTGTTACTACCCTAATTATATAGGTAAGGAAACTGCTTTCCAGAGAGCTCACCCTTTTTTGCTGAAATATTTGAGAGATTAAGTAATTTGTTGAAGGTCACACAATTGGCCAGTTGGCAGAGTCAAGAATTGAATCCACATGTCTTTCACTCCAAAGCCCATTTTTCCCATGATGCCTTGATGAATTTTCCTCTATAGTCTCTCAACTCTCCACTCCCTGTACATACACACCATCTTTAGGGAGAGGCCTGGGAGCCAGAGTGTGAGTGTGACCTCATCATGACTAACTGGGAGGAAATGGGAGGTAGAGGGAGTGGGAAGAAGAAGAAAGAGTGGTTATGTAGGAACAACCTTTGTGTGTAATACAGAGAAGGTGTTAGCAGACACAGGCAAGCAAAAGATGAGCCACTGCCCTTGATGAAGCTCCAGTTGTAAGGCCCCAAGCTAGTTGGTACAATTGGAAGTTGCAGCCAGGTGCTGGGTATAATGCAGTCCTGAAGTTGCATAAGCAAAGGATGTTGGCTCATCAGGCAGTTTCAACTTGAGCCTGTTAATTTCCTGGTCCCAAGAAAGCAGACTGAGCCTGTGTGGGGATAATTGGGGGTTGTAGAAGCAAGGCCACTACCAGTTTCTAGGAAAGATTAAAAAAAGTGTATAGACAGTAAAATAAAGCCAGATCAGAAGTCAGAAATCTTGAGTGTCAATGCTCTTCCTGCCCCTTTCTAGTTGCCACCTTTATTTTTCTGTGCCTCAGTTTGCTCAAGAATAAAATGAATAAGTTTATATGCAATAATGTCTAAGGCCCCAGCAGTCTGTGTATCATGGTCCCATCATTTTTGTCATGTCATATTCTACTGGTTGG